TGTGTGTGTTGAGTGGGGAAAGAGTAAGATCAGGGACAAGATACACCTCTGCAGCATGCCCTTAGTGACCTACTTCTTCCAACTGGGACCTACCTCTTACAGTATCCACCACCTTCCAAAAATGCCATCAAATTATCAATCCATTAGTGGATTAATCCACTGATGAGTTCTGAGCTCTCAGGACTCAATTATTTCCTAAGAGCCCCATCTCTGAACATTGCTGTTCTGGGGACCAAGACTTCAACACAGAGCTTTGGGAGTAAAATTCAGAACTAAACCATAGCATGAGCTAAAATTTTGTTATTTTTGGTGATCTTTTCAAAAAATGATTCTTACCAACAATAAAAATTACACAACATATATATGCAATGAAAAAATTATTTCAATAATTGTTTCTATTATTTTCTTGTTGTATATTTTATTTATTTCTGCTTTAATCTTTATTATTTATTCCGCTGTATACTTAGTTTACTCTTATTTTTAGTTCCTCAACATAGAAAGTTGGATTATTTATTTGAGCTCTTTCTTTCTTTTTTCTTTTCTTCTTCTTTTTTTAAATATGAGCATTTACTATGACATTTCTTCTTAGAATCTATTTGCTGAGTCATATAAACTTTTGTATGTTGTGTTTTTGTTTTCATTGGTCTTAAGATATTTGCTAATTTACCTTTTGATTTACTCTTTGGCCCACTAGTTGTATAAAATTGTGTTGTTTAATTCCACATATTTGAGAATTTCCTTCTAATATTGAGTTTTAGTTTCATTTCATTGTGGTTTGAAAAGACACTTGGTATATGATTTCAACCTTGAATTAGTTAAGACTTGTTTTGTGCCCTAACATGTAAAGTTCCATGTACATCTGGGAATGTGTGAGTGGTGCTGCTGTTGGGTGGAAAAGTTTTTATATGTCTATTTAGATTTTCTGGTCTATAGTGTTGCTCTACTATTTTTATTACTTTTTTATGGATGTTCTACCAATTTTTGAAAATGGAGTATTTGTAAACTCCTATGATTAATACGATACTTTATATTTATACATTCATTTCTTTCAATGTTTGTTTCAGACATTTGTGTACCCTGATGTGTTAAGTGTGTAAATTACATATTTATAATTGGTATGTATTCCTGGTAAATTGACCCCTTTAATTATTATGTAATATTGTTCTTCATCTCTTTGTGTCAATTTTTGGCAATTTAATGTGCATTTTTTCTGATGTGAGTTTAGCTACCCCTGCTCTCTTTTGGTTACCATTTGCAAGAAATATTTTCCCCATATTTTACTCTCAGGCTATGTGTGTTTTTAAATCTACAGTGAGTCTCTTATAGATAACATATAGTCGTAACTTAATTTTTAAAATCTCTTCAGTCATTCTGTGTTTTTTGATTGGGGATTGAATCCATTTGCACTTTAAATAATTACTGATAGAGAAATACTTTTAAAATTAATTATTTAATTTATATATGAAAGCAGAATGCATTACAATTCTTATTACACATATAAAGCACAATTTTTCATATCTCTGGTTGTATAAAAAGTATATTCACACCAATTTGTGTCTTCATACCTGTACTTTGAATAATAATGACCATCACATTCCACCTTCATTTCTAACCCCATGCCCTCTCCCTTCCCCTCCAACTCCTCTGCCCTATCTAGAGTTTGTTTATT